TACTGCTACTGCTACTGCTACGATGATGATACAGAAGACATCAACCAAGGCGTTAGCATTTCCTGCCGGCATTCTGAGCGACACTGTTTCGCGCAGCAAAATCCTGACCTGGTGCGCCATTCTTTCTGTCTTGGCCGTGGCCGTCTCCATCGCAGGCTGCACGATGGTTTCTTCGCTACTAAGCCCTGAACCCAACTCCCTGAGCCTAAACACAATCCTAAACCCTGGTTTCTATACCCTGAACGCTTCCCGCCGAGCCCCAAACGATATGCTCCCGAGCCCGATTCGTCGGTTGCGGCTTCCCATAGGAGGCCCTTGCACCTGGAAGTCTGACCTTCGCACGCTTGTCGCTAGTATCCTGAAACAGTACAGCGTAAACGAGAAACCTTAACACCTTTGCAAGCCTAGCGGCTAAAGCCCAAACCTGTAACTGTAAGCTTTTAGACATCAAACCAGTGTCACATGAGACCATGAAGAACGTCTTCAAGCAAAAGCCTTATTTCAAAGCACTGTGGCAGGCATTAGCCTTGATAGCTTTCCCGTGATTTACCTCTCTTTGCTCCTCTTCGGGACCTACACGGTGCCTGGGATCCGGAGTAGGGTTCTGATCAGGCTTCAGCTGTTTCTAGTTTGCAGGGCTTTATACGTCCCGTAAAATTGGGCACGGTAAGGGTTTTGTAAGGGTTTGAACGGGCCTTATGTAGATTTATGTACGTGGTAGTGGGGTTGTAGGAACATCCAACGATGTCATAATGGTCAAGAATGGGATTGCAAGGGCCTTGGCTTCGGGCTTTGGGGTTTAGGGTCACAGGGTTCCTCGGGAGAGACGAGCTCAAAGGGCCTTTACACAAGCTCTAGCCTCAATAATTACCTATACTATTTTAGAGGTTCCTTATTATATTTATAGTATATAATACCCCCAAATCCTATTCTAGTTAGAGAGGCCTCTAAATTAGAGACCCGAAGCTCCAGAATAGAGGGGTCGGACTAATTAGGAGCCTTTGTCCTTCGGATTTCTGACTGAGTATTTTCAGTATGGTATACCGGTAAACCACAATGCCTTCTTCTAAGTATCCAGTCCCCGATATATTTCCCCGAAGCCTAAGCCAATAGAACCGTGCAGCTTGAACATCTGCAGTTCCAACCTCCCTCGTGGCTTGCTATTGATGTATTGTGGTGTTGTTTAATATCAGCATAGATGTACAGCAACACCGCCACGCGAACCTTCAATCCGGAAACCCTAGACCGACACCAGGCTGTTCGAAGTAGCCTGGCAGATTTGAAATACTACCCTCAATGGTTCAACCCTAAACTCCCCAACCCAAAGTACTACATCGAAGGCGCTGCAGAACACGGCCAGCAACGCACTCTACACGGATTCCATCCCACCGGGTGAACGCGCCAAGTGGCTATCGCGGGTGAGCATCGCCGCTGTCCTAGCTTTACGGGCTTGATGAAACCAAGAGCTAGGTAAAGCAGAGAGCGTTGCTATGCGCACATTTTCGCTTAGACTGTGTATTGTAATGGAAGCAAGAAACTTGCGAATCGTTGCGAAGCGCAATGAATTAAACCAAACCCAGCACAACAAAGAAAAGAAGTGTGTGTTGCTTTGCTCGTTCATATTTGTTGGGTGAGAACACTGGAAAAGGAATGCTTCTTCGGTCTCTCCGTTCATTGTCGCATTTATTCTTTAATATCAGACGAAATTGTTCACAGAGTACCTGCGCAGGATTTGAGATCTGGGGGGCTGAGGGTTTGGGGTTTACAGATCGAGGTTTAGGGTTTGGCGTTTGGGATGAGAACATGTGCCACGAGGGCTTTTGGACGGGTTTTGTGCGCAAAGTGTTCAGGGCCTCGAACAGTGTCGCTTTGAAGGCCCTGAGCCCTCAACCCTCAGCTGGTCAACCCTGGCAACTACCCTAAACCCTAAACCCTAAACCCTAAACCCTAAACCCTAAACCCTAAACCCTGAACGCTGGGTCCTCAATTATGAGTTTCCAGAGACAGACTTCCGGCACCCAGGAGCCGTCAACTACCCCAAACCCTGAAACCGAAACCGCAATGCAAGACGCCGGGCACTTCACGAAGGTGAACCAGCTGGGCTACGGCGCCGGGCCCTTCTTCAGCTTGTTCCTCCTGGCCCTTCGGTGCTAAGAGCCCACGGGAGGATTTACGAAAATTCGGGGCCCGTCCTCTGAAGTAGCTTTTTTCAGGACGCTGTTGTGATATCGGCTCTTTTTTCTTGGGATTCCTTGTTGTCCCAGACTCCCACTTGTACCCAAGCGCCCGGAACCCCAAAGGCCGCAAACCATCACAGCCCCTTGTTGAACTGCAGCCTGAACGCCACGTCCGCACACCTGTAAGCATTAAGCCCTAAAGTCCAAGTCTGAGACAGTACTCCCTTCAAAAGGCTCCAAGATGAAGACTCCTCAAATAACGGTTTAGGTTTAGGGGTTCAGGGACCGCTTTTCGCCCCTTTCGAGGCTTGTGAGCCCTTTCGAAGGAGCTCCAGGCACAACCTTGTCCCAAACTAACATGGGTGGTTTTCTAAATTAGGGTCCCTTTGGGGGCCCTTTTGATAAGGGTGCCGTACTATTGGGGACCCAACAAGGGACCCTAATTTAGAGAACTACCCATATAGCAGGTTCTTGAGAGCCTAAGATAGGGTGCAAGAGTTTCGGGGACCTGGGAAGGGGGATCCTCGTAGTTCGGGGGGGTATAGGTTGTAGGGGCCTTCACAATTAGAGTAGGGCTTGGGGTATCTTATACTATAATTATAATGAGGAGCCCCCCAAAACCCTATGCTAAGTATTAAGGCCGCTACATTGACCCTAAACCCGGCTTTCTGAAGTGCCCACCTGCAGGGGCACAACGGCTTGAGTACTTCAAATCGGGTCTCGGAGGTTTCTTGCGATAAAACTCTGTTAAAAAGGGGCATCTGAAGCTAGAGGTGATCAGAGGTCAACCCTGAATCTCTAAACCTTCTTTTCAGCCCTAAGCACTGGTACCCTAAACCCTAAAGCCTAAACCCTAAACCCTAAACCCTAAACTCAGCCACTGACACCTCAAAGCCCAGAACCTTTGTGAACCGTCGGCCAGAAGACAGAGGCTTACTTTGGCAACGAGTGGAAGCTCTCGATCCTGCATTTCGTGCTAATCATCGGTTTCTTGGGCATGATTCCTGCTACGAGGCTGCAACGGGCTCTTGTCTCTTCAGATTCAGATAAAAGGTTTAGGGTTTAGGGTTTAGGACTTCAGCTTGGGGGAGTTGTGGTTTCGGAGCTGAGGGTTTGGTTGTTGATGGGTTTGTGCTGCCTTTAGGATGCCCCTGCATCCGCGCCATCTTTAAAGCACCTTGAACCTCAAGCCTGAACGACAGCCATGGTGCGAGGTGCAAGGAATCGCAGATTCAGACAGAAGCGCTGAACCCTAAACTCTATCAGCCCGAAAAGGCTTAAACACCCTGAACCTGCTATGCCCTGAAACCCAACCCTAAACCCTAAACCAATCAGTCATTCCAATCATCCACAAAACCGACACTCTCAGCCGGAGTAGCACAACCTCACACAGGAGCATATGGTGTGGCTTCAAGCTTTGAACTGGTGCAAGTTGCAAAAGTAGCACGACGCAACATACAGTACTCAGGCCAACTTCTTCCTCTTCAATCTGAAGGCTGCCCAGGGCATCAAGGGTTCCGGGCTTCGGATTGAGGGCACCGTGTCAGGGATTTCCGGTGGGTCAAATTCCTACTGTGTTTAGGGCTGCACCCAAAAACTATGTGGTCAAGACCTGCGTGAGGCCTTAACAGGTAAGGGTGAAAGGTGTCGGGTTTTCGGGCGCAGACCGGGGCAGCAAGGCAAATATCGAGGGCCTCGGAATCTCAGAGTTGCCCGGAGACTGTTGGTAAAAATAGAAGCCTTTAGAAATGCCAGTACTGTTTCTTAAGGCTTGTAGAGTTGCAGTAGCTAAGCCTTTTGAGGCATCTACAGATGATTTCCAGAACGCATCCCAACGGGACTGGATGTCGAACATCACCCTTTTGCTTCCACGTCTTCCGAAGCACAGCAGGCTCATCTTCGTAGGAAGAAGCAGAACTAGGTCCAACTAGGTTCCTGAGTAGCACCCTTTTGCCCTTTTTATTGTATGGTTCCCTTCTTGAAACTGAATAGCAGGAAAAAGGGTACCCTTATTATAAAGGGGTCACTCAGGAACCTAGGAAGATTGCGGCTTTGTTCCGAGAGGCCTTGGGCTGGGAAACCCCCAGCCGGGGGGAACTTCAAGGCAACAGTCTCCGGCTTTTGGACTAATATAAGGGCCTTAATAATTAATATATAGGGTCTTGGGGGTTCCTTATTGTAATTATAGTAGGATACAACCCGAAGCCCTATCCTAAGTATGAAGGCCCCTACATGATACCTCGCCACTCGTGGAAGCCCAAAGCTCGAGACCCTGAAAGCCTCGAGCCGAACCGCAAGCCTGCGCCAACTTCTGTCTGGTGCTTATGGGGGAATGGATCCCTATGATAATCCCTTAAAGTCCCTATAACCCATTCCCCCATTCCCTACTAAGCATGCACAGGACGCCCAGCACGAGGAGCAGGGGACGGAGGGCTCTGGTTACTACAGCAACCTGCCCCTTTCCTTCAACTCGCACGGGGCGTGGGGAGCACTATATATTATATTATATATATAATATATATATATATATATATATATATATATTACGTAATATATGTACAAAGAACAAAATCAGCACATATACAGTATGTCACACGAGGGCCTAACGGCAGCCAGTATCATCCTTGACCCAGAGCCCAGAAGCCTTGCTACTGCGATTGCTGTTTATGGTAGGTCGAGGAGTAGCACGTTCAACCTTGCATGGAAAGACATCGAGTTAGAGGGTCGGGGGTCTAATCGTTGGTGCCTTCACTGCCTTGAAGGGCTTGGAGAACAAGACTGTGAGTCAAGTTCCCTTTGTCTACTCTACATTTCCGTCTGAGGAAGTATGCTCGCATGGTGCCGTGGCTGATCTGCAGCTTGGATGTCATCACTGCAGTTGGAGCGGGCATGACCGTGAAATTCTTTCCCCTCTTCTTCAAGGAGCCGCGAGCTTACTGAAGTCGGGGTCCCTGAACGACCAACAAGTCCCATAATCAGCCTCAACAACAAACCCCTGACGCCCTAAACCTTCCAGGAGGATTATGGGCTGAGTCCTGGACAAATCCAGTTACTCTTCGCTGTCTACGGCCTGTCTTTTGGCTTCTTCACCTGGCTTTGCAGCTCGGTGGTCCTTCAGCGTTTTTGTGTGGCTGAAGCTGGTTTTCTAGTGCTTTCCGGATCTACTCTGGGGACTTCGGGCTTCAAGTTTCCACGAAGTTAAGGAGATTCGGGGCCTTGTATCTCCCGATTTGGAGACGCTAAAGTGAGCTCCACTGCAGGGGTCGGAATCTCGAAGTCCGAGTGCAACTAGCCCCCGAAAGCCCCAGATCGCTAAGCCATGAACCCTGAGCCCCAAACCCCAACCCCCAAAGCCATAAGCCCACCAAATCCCAAAAATTCTAAACCCTATACCCCCAAACCCCAAACCCCAAACCCTAAACCCTAAACCCTAAACCCTTAACCCTAAACCCTAAAGGCAGCCTCGGCTCCCAGTCTTCCAGCCTTTGAAGGTGAAAAGGCAGCTGCGCAGATGGGCCGAGTCATGGCAGGTTTGCTCTTCAGCTTCCCTGCGCCGAAGTAGAAGAAGTTTGCTGATTGTTGCTTCAAAATTTTTTGTTTGGTCTTGGGGCTTAGGTTTTTCTTGTGTTTGTTCAGGGCTTAGTTTTTTTGGGGGGTAAGATTTCGCTTCTTTGTTCCGGGCTTGGCTTTGCCTGGCTTAGAGTTTTGGAGCTTGGGGTCGCCATCTGCAGCAGCTTGAAGACGCTTCGGAGTTGAGCCGATATTCTTTGAACAGGGGGATCTAAAGTCAGTGAGGTTTCAAGCTTTAGGGTTCTGGGGTTTTGGGGTTTAGGGTTTAGGGAGCTTCATTACATGGGTAGTTCTGAATTAGGGTCCCTTTTGGGGGTCCTTTTTATAAGGGTGCCGTACTATATTGGGGACCCAGCAAAGGACCCTAATGTAGAAAACTACCCACATCCTAAAGCCTAGGCCTAAACCCTAAACCCTCCCGAAACCCTCAAGCCTAAAGCCCCCCCCCAAGCAGTAGCTCGACGCCCTCGACGAAGGCCCCAAAAAATACGACGATTATTCCTTAGGGTTCCTCAATATAAGTCTACCATAAGGAGGGTTTAGGGTTTAGGGTTTAGGACCCCAAAGCCCTACTCTAGTTTTTGAGGCCCTAAACCCTAAACCCTAAACCCTAAACCCTAAACCCTAAACCCTAAACGCCCCTGTAGCAATTTGCAGCCTGAGGCTCTGCAGGGGTAATCTGCCTCTTTCTGCTGGCCTACCTCAGGCCGGCGGAATCGGTCCGAGTTGGAGGATGGGTGGGGACGTAACATAGGGGCCAACAAATAATTACCTACATTATTTTGGGGTTTCTTTTTTATCAATACAGCATATTGGGCCCCCCAAAACCCTATTCTAATTATAAAGGCCACTATATTAAGGCTCTATGGGGGTATGCTTGATAGCGAGCGCCATTGGACCGCCAATGGGATGCCGTGGGACGAAAAAAAAGCCAGTCAAGCTGGCGCACGACTTACTAAACAACCTGTGCAAGCACATCCCAAAACCAACAGATATCGAAACGATCTCCCTGCACGCTCAATCCTTGCAGAATCCTCGAAGATCGGATAAACCCTAAACCCTAAACCCTAAACCCTACAATCACCGTGCCAAGCCGGTGCAGTAACTTTCTGAAACCTCAACCCCAAGCAGCCAAAGAAGTGAGACGCAGGTGGCTTCCAGCTGTCCTGTTTGTCTTTGTGATCCGAGGGGCCCTGGCCAACTCGCTTCCCGCTTGCTTGGTGAGCTTTTTGTTGCGGGAGCTGGGTGCAGATCGGGGTTCTATTGACGGAGTTTGTTAGTTACAGGATGGATTGCAAGAGCAACCTCTTCCCAACCACCTCCAAACCACCCCCCAAACCAGAATCCAGAGATCCTGAGCCCTTTTGCATCCCATAGCTTCAACTTGGCGACAGCTGTTTCTAAACCACCGAAACTTGTAGATCCTGATGGGAAAGCAACTCAATAAAGCTCCCCGCATTGCAGAAGCTTAAGAAGGCCGCGCTTCCAACCGGGAACCATTTATATGCCCCGCTGTAGCTTCAGAACTTGCAAACCTTGAGGCCCCAAACAGTGAAGCCCCAAAGCCCCAAAAAGGTAGACCCCAAACCCCAAGCCCTTAAACCGCTAAATCTCAGAAGCCTAAGCCCTAAAGCCCAAACCCTTCTTCCCGCAAGCCCCTAAACCCCCAAACTCCCTAAGGATCTATCCGATCGACAAGTCGATTCTCATGGATTTTGTGCCCTCCTCCGAGTACGGGCGGTGGAATGCTGCCGAGAGCCACCCGGCCTAGAGCTTTGGGTGCGGGGTTTGATGCGACTATTGTTGTAGCAGCG